TTTTTAAATCTACTCCTGTTAAAGGTTGAAGTAGTTTCCATGATCCTAAACATAGGAACAGATTCACCTGAAATGATCAAATGGGGATTCTGATTCTGAATCAGGATTTCCTTTTAAATGAGTGAAACACATAAAAAGCAATGATTGCAGGAAACAATTCAATAGTAGTAGAAGTAGAAATCCCCACTGCTGCATCAAAAAATGATGCATCAATCATTTTATGATTTATTTTCTCTGCAAATTTTAATGTTGTAATGATCATTATTACTGGAATGAAATCTGACAAGGAAAATTTGGTTGCATCTCAACCCAAATGGGAACACATTGTGACAGAAGGCTGATATCCAATGCATCTAGATGCAAATTATACTTAAATGGATGAAAAGCCTACAGTTCCCTTTGGTTTCATCTTCCAGGCCGCTGAGATGCTGCAGCACGCTCTCCATCGGAACCTCCTCCGCTCCTTCAAACTCTCCACCGACGCAGTCTCCGAGCACAGCCGCTACCAGAGCCCCTCTGAAGCGGGACAAAGAGGCCGGGCCTCCCGCTGCCGAGGCCGCCGCTCTCACCGCCGTCATTGCCATTCATCCGCCGGAGAAGCGACTCCACTCCTCTGTTTGCCGCTAGACTGAGGGCGACAACAACAAATGTCGGCTAGACTCCTCCTGCGGATGCTTCCTGGACTGGTTAAGTTCCCGGTGAAAGGTTCTGACAGTCTAGCATAGAAACTGTCAACCTAGAATTCGTTTCGAGTAATAATTACCATAGAGCAGCTTCTTGTACGCATGTGTCTAAGCGATAAAAATACCACCTATTACCAAGTACTATCTAATATGTGCGCACGAAAACTTGTGTTATTTTATTTTGATTTTTTTCTAGTGATCTTCTAGCCTGACGTAGTCCGACTCAATTCTAGTCAGAATATGAGTCTGATGCTGCTCCATAGAGCTGTGATTATGGGGCGTGTTTTGAACGAACCAGGAAAAAAATGCCTCTGTACTCAATTGGATAGACCTACAACCAATAAGAGCAACGGAGTGCGTGACGTATGTTAAGCGAGGCATAGTTGTTGTCCACAAAAATCAAAGCGTGCAGTTGCACGCCTAGAATAAGAAGATGAGACTTGATCGCGTTTCTCTGTTCCTCTTTTAAAATTAATTTGCTGTCGATATCTTCTAGAACTCTCCTGGGTATAAATGCCATTTGTCAGCGCTACAGGGATGTGGTTCCCATCGGCGTCGCCAGACCCCATTTACTGGGGCACGTGCCCCAGTATAAATGAGCTGTGCCCCAGTATAAATCTCATGAATATTTGCAACAGTGATACATTTTTTTAATGCATCAATTTAGATAATTCCAACGGGAGGAGACGTATATTTCTACTCAAACCCCACAGCTGGCAAATGCTCTGAGCCTTGCCATCCACTCCCCATCTCCCATACCTTCATTGCTCTTTGGTCATTATTTGCCTCCCATTTTGCTTTAAGAAATTCTAGGAACCACTGGAGAAGGAGGTTTGGAACACCAGAAACAATCAGATCTCTAATATAAGTTGGAGCTTGGTTGTTTATGGCTTTATAGGTGAGAAGGGGGGTTTTGAATTCTATTCTTGTCATGATTCCTGGCATGAGTGCTGGTTTGATTCAGGATTCAACACACCTGTCAGCTCTGCTCAGCCTCCATCAGATTTTCCCTCTTATTTAACTGTATAACCAGCTCTCAGACCAGTGACTAGTGCCAGATTATTACGAGTATTTCTGTAAACCTGCCTGCCTGCCTGACCCCTATCGGACTTGTCTTAGTGTCTTTTGGATCTCTGACCTGTATTCTGTGTTGCATTTGTTGATTCTGGTTAATCTCTCCCAACCAGCGCCAGTTTCATTCCAATAAACTGTTTAAACGTCTCTTGCTCCGGTTGAATCTGGGTCTTCCATTATCTGGTCATTGTAATTCTGGATTTAACAGGAAGCCATTAAAAGGAAGCTAAAAATGGAGGAATATGTACAAATTTTAAAGTTTTTATCAGAACTATAGCTGCAAAAGGAACAAATATAAAAGTCATTGAATGCAAGTGAATTTTATTAAAGATTAAAATTAAGCTTTGGTCTCAGATAAGGAAAAGCATAACAGGAAGTGAAGCCTCCACTATGGTAGGTTTTTTTCTTCTCTTGTGTCAATTTCCAGATGATGTTGCACAGATTTCAATGGTCTGAAGCTTTTTCCACACCTCCTGCACATGTGGGGACTCTGGTGTGGATATGTAGATGACTTTTCAGAGAAGATCTATGACCAAAGCTTTTCCCACACTGATGGCAGACGAAAGGCTTTTCGCCGGTGTGAATGGGTAGATGGCAATTCAAATCTCCTTTCTGGCGGAATTGCTTCCCACACTGATGGCAGGCGAAAGGCTTTTCGCCGGTGTGAATGAGTAGATGGTAATTCAAATGTCCTTTCTGGCGGAATTGCTTCCCACACAGATGGCAGAGGAAAGGCTTTTCGCCGGTGTGGATAAGCAGGTGTCTTTTCAAATGATGAAATCTCTTAAAACCCTTTCCACAGTGGTCACAGCGATGTACTGATTCCTCAGAGATATTCAGCTGATCCTGGTCTCTGTTTTCCACATGCTGCTGACCTTCACAAAACTGTTCCACATTACTGATATCCATCTGTAAGAGAACAAAAACGAAAAATCCATCAATTATTTGGCACCACTGAATAAAGTGTAAACCCCTTTTGTTGCCTAATGTGGAACAAAATGATGGCTCTTCATAAGAAAAGTTTCAACTCAGAATGACTTACTGGAG